GGGCAGGTATACCCCAAATGTGGGCAGGTATACCCCAAATGTGGGCAGCACCCTTCTGCTCACTTGTCTCTCCTTCCTGCCACTGAGCTGATCCATCCTGTAGCTGCTGCTGATTCCTTCACTGATATTGGAACCAGGGTCCATCATTGTCAAGGATGTGGCAGGAACCCTTCAGGGCTGTGGCCCCAGACTGGGGCTGCTGAGGCCCCTGACCTCGTGGGGACTTAATGACCTTTTTGGTGTGAGACAGCCACCGTGGGATTCTTCCAACTGCTGAGGTACTGGCCTCAAGGCCTGATCATCTACCAGGTTTTCAGCCTCTTGGGAATGAGAACTGTTGTTACTATTTCACAAATTCTTTATACATACATCTCTCTGTCTCTCCCTCTCTCACCGCCCCCTTTACTGGCCCTGCTCCAGAGAACCCCACCATACAAACCTTTGCTCAGAGGGGAGCACTGGGGCTCAGTCTGAGCTGCTTCTCTCCCACGCCTGGACTCTAGAGGGCACCAGGCTTTGGACAGAGACCCTCTGAACCATAATGTTTCTGAGGCCACTGCTCTGATGACATGCAGTAGAGAGATAGTGACACTTGTGTCCATCTAGATCCATGGCCCAGGTTGCCCAACTCACACTGACATAAAATTCCAACTCAATAATTGACCCTCTGACCTACATGCAGCAGGTAAGAGAACATCTTCTGAGGAAAAGTTCTGTCCTCTTTAGGATCACTCCCTGTGGTGGTGTGAATATGCTTGGCCCGGGGAGTGGCACTATTAGGAGGTGTGGTCTTGTTAGAGTAGGTGTGGCTGTGGTGGAGTAGGTGTGGTCTTGGTAGAGGAAGTGTATCACCATGGGGGTGAGCTTTAAGACCCTCCTCCTAGCTGCCTGGAAGCTAGTCTTCTAGCAGCCTTCAGATGAAGATGTAGAACTCTCAGTCTGCCTGCACCATGCCTGCCTAGACACTGCCATGTTTGTGCCTTGATGATAATGGACTGAACTGTAGAACCTGTAAGTCAGCGCCAATTAAATGTCTTTATAAGAGTTGCCTTGGTCATGGTGTCTATCCCCAGAAGTAAAGCCCTAACTAAGACACTCTCCAAGCATCCCCATTTGCTAACACATTCCTTCTCACCGGCAGCAAAAGTTGGGAGGAAAAACTTGCCATCTTTAGTGTTTAAAAGAAATGAATGTGTTAAAGCCCTGTTTTACAGAATCCCTCCCTCCCCTATTTATAGCTCTGCAATAGCTGAGAAGGCAATGGGCTCCATCCTAAGTCTTCACAGGGTAACAGGCTTCCCTAATCGCTCTCATTACCTGTGCTTTAGCCCCCTCCCCTGCCCCCAGTGTGGATTCTGCAAACACCCCAGTGGCTGGCAGGTGGGAGCCCTCCATTTCACACCACTTAATTACTCTCGACAAGCTGATAATTTCTTATCAGATAAGCCACCCAAAGGATAAAAGCCAATCGTTTCTCATAAAATAAAAGTACCTGAGATAAAATTATGGCTTTACACAATGATTTGAGAATTAGCTGAGTTTAGAGAGCAAAAATTATCTTTAAGAAAGAGGCATTACATTATTAAATTTATGTCCTGGGGTCTTAAATGTTTCTAGGTCTTTATTGTCCTATTTTTGGCATGCATTTGAAATCTAAGTTCCAGAGGAGTGCTACTACAGAGAAATTTATTTATTTATTTATTTATTTATTTATTTATTTATTTTTATTTATTTTTAAATGAAAGTGGCTTAGTAAACAGGGCAGTGTAAATATTCACAACGACAGATGTGCCAGGCACCAGGCCACAAGGTCACTGGTTTGGCAGAAGAGAAAGATAGAAATGTGGTAGTAGGGTTGGGGTAAAACAGAGAAGCCTGCAACTTTCCAAAAACACAGCACAGAGTTTTTGCCCTGCAATTTGGTGCCTCTACAACTATTGTGTTATCAATTTCATTTGTAAAGTAATAGCAAACTACCAAGAGTTATTTAAGAAAGGCAAAACGTGTGCACGCTCACGTGGAAGATAATCCAGATACAGGGATGTATGTCAAGTCAGAGGAGACTAGGGATGTGCATCCCTTAAAAAGATAAGCCAGTGTGCTGTAACACAGACTAAGTATCCATCAGAAGACGGCTCACGGACTAGAGGGGGCTTGTATATAACTGCATGAGATTTGATTTTTATGGCTTGGTTTCTAATAAAAACTCAGTATGTTTAATCTAGGATAGGAGGCTCGTACCTGCTTTCTCCCAGATGGCACCTCCACCATGTACTTCTTCTTTGCTGAGCTTGTTTTGCATTCTTACACTGTAGTAACTGTTACCCTAAGTAAACCACATGCAACTTCTGCAGGTCTTCCTAGCAAACTGCTGACCCTGAGGCCAACACACTCTACTCTATAAAACCTTCTTGACCTTCACTCTTCTACATCACAATCACACGTACCCTTCTGCATTTTGTACTGAGTCGCTAAGTGTATTTTTTTCACTAAAGATTCCAGGGATTGTCAATGTATTTCTCTAGACACATATCAATGATGCTGTTAAATAAAATTAAGTGGCAAAACTGCTCAGCTAATAATAATAATAATAATAATAATAATAATAATACTTGCCTTGTCAGACAGTTTTTCTTACGAGTTTAGGTTACGGTGTCCCTCAATTCCTCAAATTAAGACACTCAAAATCAAAACTGCAGAACTAAAGTGTATTTAAGTAAAGCATGTATTTATCAAGACAACAGAAGCTCTCACGCCTGAAGGTCATCTTCGGACTCCCAGGCAACACAGGAAAGAGTGGAGCAGGAAACAACATCGCTTGCCCGCTTTTGTCAGAAATGGGAACACTCCTTCAAACTGCCACAGACTTGAGATTTAAGACATCAATCTGACATTAAATTCCAAGACAGTATGCATGCTTATGACCAATTCTGTCTCTGTGGTTAGTTCCCCGACAGGCCATTCTGAGATGACAACACTGGCTGCCGCTAACTTGGTCCCTCCCTACACCCCATGTTGGACCCCTGGTGGAAAAGGGATGGCTTTGAACACGTGGGTTGAGGCTGTGGCTATACCTTCTCCACTGTAACATTTCTCTCTATTGCATTCGCAATTCTAAAGCTTATCACAAAGGGAAATAATTCTGTCATTTCCCAGTGTCATAAGGGCCCTGCAGTGAGTTTGGTGCCACATGGTCTGGGAGAAAGGCTCCTAAACCCTGCAGAGTCATCCTGGGTCCTGCTGAAAGGCCCAGGCTGGCAGTACCATCTGCATCTTTATCAACTTCTAGAATACAGGTGTGCTGGCCTCTCCTGGCTGTGTTCTCCTCCCCCCAGACTTCCTGTCCCATCATGTTATCTAGGCCTCTCCCAGCCACAGACTCTCCCTGAATGTCTGTTCCCTTCATATTTTTAGAACAGATCTGTATCAGCTCACCCAGGGACAATAAGAATGTAGCTTTGCTCATCTCTGAATGCAAATATGAGTTTGAGGTGGTGACTCACAGGCAAATGCTTAACAAATGTGTTTGGTGAGGGTACAGACGGACATGCTATCTGCATTTCTGAGAAAGGAGCAGATGAAATTTTAGAGACAACAAATATTCCAAAATAGACCCAGATGTCCTAGAAATCTCACCTTTTATTACTGTGATACCTATTCTTGGTTGTCAACTCGACTACATCTGAAATTAAATCAAACTAAAGCAGCGAGGCATACCACCTTCAAGGGATTTTTCTTGGTTGGATCATTTGAGGTGGGAAGATCCACGTTCAATCTGGGCCACACCTTCTGGTGGAAGCCAGTGTGAAGGCCATGGAAGGAGGAAGCTGTTGCCCTTGCCTGCTTCCCTACTCTCGATGGCAAGTGCATTTCCTCACTAGCATTGGAGCCTGTGTCTCTGAGATTCTGACACATACTGAAGACCAGCTGAGACATCCAGTGTCATGAGCCAAACAAGTGTTGGATACTTGGACTTTCTCCTGGGAGACAGCCATTGGCAGATGATGTGGACCACAGCCTGTAAGCCATGCTATTCTAAAATATTGTAGATATTCCTCCTACCAGTCCTGTTTACAATTTCATTCAGATTTTGCCCTTCAGATGGCTGAATAGAGATGAAGTACAGACACACTAGGCTTAGAGATGTTCAAAGAGTCTTAGTTATGCACGTAGGAGATGGAAGAGAGGTGACTTGAACATCAGGAGACCTTTCACCACAACTTACACCTATGCCTCCTCCTGGTTGTCATCTCCAATATCCTTCCATTTAGGGTGTCTTTCCTAGTTCTTTCTCTAGGAATAGACACCTTCCTGCTTTCTTCCCTCTAAGAGGTGTAACCAACAAACCCTATAGCTCTGCCTTCCTGTGGTCCACAGTGTGCTCAAAACAGCATCCCCATCCCTGATCTATTGGTGTAATTTATTTTTCTTCAGGCTCATCCTTTAGCCTCGGCTGCCCTAGAACTTATGTAGATCGGGCTGGCCTCGAACTTGCAGTGATCATCTTGCCTCTCTACCTCCAGAGTACTGGAATAGCAGGCATACAAGACCACACTCAGTTCCCATGTATTTTTTATGGTGCTGGGGATTGAACCAGAGCCTTGTGCAAGTATTCTAACATGACTAAGCAAGTATTGCCCCACTTGTCAGCCCCATTCCCAGTGTAGGTTGATTTTTGTTTTGTTTTGTTTGTTTGTTTGTTTGTTTTACCTTGCTGGCCTTCAAGATGTTGATCTGTTCTTCATACACTGTATCCCTGTTTTTCTCTAGAAAACCATCTGAAAGATACTCCACCTGGGGGCATGGCAATGAAAAAAATAGTCAGTACTTCAGGGGCTTTGGCAACCTCTTAGGTAGCTTCATCCCATCTATAGTATTTTCTAAAAGAGCTAAGAGCACATGAGTCATGTATATACATGTTTTCTGACTAAGATCCATCTCTCCCGTCACTCCTCATCCCACTCCAACTGAGGTCAGCCAGCTGGGATTCCCAGTGAGGATTCTCGTCACAGTCACGGTCCATGTCCATGATGCTCATAACAGCCATAGTTAAAACACACTGTCACTGCATCAGCTCAGTCTCTGTGTTGCCCCATGAGCTGGGTGTTATGTTTATATGCGTCCCAGAGATAAGGAATCGAGGCAGATCTGATACACAGAGATTTACGCAGAGGCTACTGAGTTTTCATTTGGCAGAAGAAAATGCTGTACTAAAAAGGAATTTCCACAAAAGAAGGCTTCTTTAGGGCTCTGTGAAAGCATTTCCTCCACCATGTCCCAGAAGTGTTGAATCAGAATATGCAATTACATGTACATTACCATGTGAGAATTCAATAGAAATCCATTTAGAGAGGTTCAGAGTCTACGTCCATCACTGGGATCAGTGTGGGCTACTCCAGAAGGAATCCAGACAGTGTTAGTACCTAGTTTCCACTCCTCCCTCTTCTCAGGCTCAATGACAGCAGACTTCTGTGGCTGCTGTCTTCCCAGGAGACCAGCCCTCAATTACTACCTGCTGTGCATGTGAAAGGCAACTGCAATAGTACAGGCTCTGCTTGGGCCCAGTTTTTGACAGTCTGATATACTAGAGTTGGGCCCAGGGCAGGGTGGGGAAGAAAAATCTTCAGAGAAGAATCTACCTTCAATTTCAGGTTACTGGAACTCACAAAACCAACTTCTTTATCCTGGAAACCCTTTATTCTATGTACCGTGGATCTAAGGTGTGTGTCCCAGGTCAGCAAAGAGGACAGTTACCTTGTCTGCAAAGTGGATGACAATGAAGGCCGTGTTGGACATCCGTGGTTTCTGGAAGTGCTGGCTGCTGGAGTGTCGTTCATAAAGTTTCTGGGCCCAGTTCTGATCAGTTCCTTTGGGGACCTGGAGAAGCACAAGACCGGACACGACAGTGAAGCATCCTGGCAGAGGGTATGAGTCTGGGTTCAGCTCTCAAGGCCAGGACTCAAACTGGACGGTGATAAAAACAACTCAACCATGAACTCTTAAGATCCCGCTATGAAAGGTTACTGACCATCCGTGTGTGGGCTGACATCCATGGGAGGGCACTGAGCCTCAAGAGCAAGCTAGCCAGCCAAAAATGGAAGTTCAGGGAAAGGAATAAGAGGGGCATCAAGGCCACAGGGCAGAATCCTGTCTGTGAGGTTATCTGAAGACACTCCTGTCCCCTTCAGCACCATGCTCCTGCTCACACAGGAGAATGACATAATTAGCCTATGTCCCTCCCCTAGCTCATCCATACGATTGCCCTGGCTCAGACTGCCCTTTCTTCTGAAGCCTTTTCTGGCCATTTCTGGTCTTGTGTCTCTCTTCTTTGGAATTCCTAACAACTGAACATACACACATAGGCATATGGTTACAACTTCAGCTTCTAGATACTGTTACTATGCAGAATAAATCTATAGTCAGAGAGGACTGTTTCAGCTCTTCCCCAACCCCTGAAAGAACTGAGAATTGTTTTCTGGCCACATGATGGGTGATTTGCCGATTCCCTGTCCCCGAACTATAGATCTAGACTTATGAGGTTTCACTATGTGACAAATTCTCAGGGCAGCCTCTTTTGATGGCTTCCAAAGTAAGTAAGCAACTTGCTTTGTTGAAGCTATAGCACAGGCTGCTGACTGTGCTCTGAGGCTACTGCTGCTCCTAGCCTTCATCAGAGAAGTTTCTCTTTGCAGTAGGTGTTAGCTAATTGAAGAGTGGGGACTACATGACAGTGCAGTGCCCAGACATAAGTAAGACATACACAAACATGGAGCCGGGTGTGTGCGCACAGGAAACATCCTGGAGGAGAGGGTGGAAATAATATAGGTGCCAGAACTCTTGGAGGTGTGCCATGAAACAGCGATTGGTGTGACATGGCACCGCAGCCATGAGCTCACCGAAGCTGTGCTGACCTGCACAACAGTGGACCCATTATCACGTATGGGGCAGGGACTCAAAAGACTCTACCCCTCACTGAGAGCTGATGATTGGGCCCATTATCACCTATGGGGCAGGGACTCATAAGACTCCACCCTTCACTGGAGTTGACAAACAGTTAACAGGTACTAGGGTCGAGAGACACATTTTGTTGAGTGGTGTAGCCACTGCTAACTGTCCATGTTCCAGTAAAATAGCACCCCTTCCCCCCCACACATATGCACTCACCCAAAGGTGCTAAAGTAGGAGGGGGCTTGTTGGAAGAAGAAGTGTTTCGAAGATTGAGCGGGGAATGAGAGAGGGTAATTAATAGTGTGGTGGGAAAAAACATATAGCACAGTCATTGCTCTTGCTGTTGAAATGGCCAGTGATGACAGTGACTTATCCAGGGAGACATCCCTCATGCTGTTGTCCTGACACCCCAACAGTTCTCAGTTTCCATAGCCCATTGACTCTCCTTCATGACTTTACACTCAGATCAGGCGAGATTTGAAGTGACCCTTGCTGTGTCCAGGTAAAAAGGGCTTTACTCAGTAAATAATATATGCTCCAAAAAGGAAAATGCTTACAGATGTAGAAACAAACTTCTTAGATCCTTTGTAAGCAAACTGATTTTTCTCAAGATTCAATTTGGCATAACTAGCACTGAATCCCCTGGGCCATGTGGTATAGGATTCAAAGAAAGAAACCCTCTTTCTTGAAGGAGGCTATTAATTGTGTTGGACAGACAATAAAATATATTTAATTCAGCACTTTCTATATATATATACTCTTTTAGACTCATCTCTGAGAGTTCTGTTTAGCACTACCAGGTGTGGGTGAAGGAGGAGTCAGCACAGCAGGGCTTGTCAGGACCAGGCAGCCAGAGCCTGGGAGCAAGGAGGACCTCCAGGGACTGACCCAACTGGGTCAGATAGAACTACAAAGAGAAGCTCTTCTAAGCAAATGCTGAAGTCTGCTAGTAACACTTGACAATGAACTTGGACTTCAGTGAGAAAATCCTATGATCCTACGCAGTCACTAATTTAGACAGGCAGGAACAATCAGAGGACACCATTGATCAGGGTCATGTGTATACATGTTTTCTGACTAAGATCCATCTCTCTCATCACTCCTCATTCCACCCCAACTGAAATCAGCCAGCTGGGATTCCCAGTGAAGACTCTCATCACAGTCTCGGCCCATGGCCATGGTGCTCATAACAGCCATAGTTAAAACACATTGTCACTGCATCAGCTCTGTCTCCGTGTCACTCCATGAGCCGGGTGTTATGTTTATATGCGTCCCAGAGATAAGGAATCGAGGCAGAGAGGTTAGCTAAGACACAGAGCTCGGAAGTAGCAGCCTGGGGTCCAAGTCAGGAAAGGCTGGCTCTGGGACATGTGTCCTTCAATACTCTGCTTTTTGGCCTGGCAACAGTATCTAAGGCAACTGTGAACACAGGATCAGGTGAAAAGACAGTTTTCTCCAAAAGTATTTTCACATATATAAATTTTAATCAGGCATGGGTGGGGGGGGAATCTTGTATTTGAGCACAGACTGGGATTATAGCTATCTTTAGCTCTGGAGTGCACAGGGGGCTAAATCCTCTAAACGGACTCCATGCATGGCTACATGTAGGGTTCCTCACACCCCTCCCGATGCATTGTGGAGAACACTGGTCCAAGAGCTTGGGTCTAGTTCCATCCCTCAGACTTAAACTCTCTGGCCTGTGGTGCTAGCTGTCACTTCTCAGGAAGTCACAACCCATCCAGAATAGGCAACTGGATGGAGACCGGTGAGGTGACAGGCAGAGGCGCCTATCCATTCATCGAAGGGCAGGGATGCTCTGGAAGTGATGTCTGCAGTGCTGAACGCACCGAAAGCCACTGAGCTCTACACTTCAAATGCTCGCACTGTGCATGTTACATCTCAACAATGCTTGTAGACACACTGTATGCTTCAAATGCCCACACTGTGTGTATTATACCTCAACAAAGCTCCTAAAGACACTTTACTCCTTGTGACTAAGATAAAGTAGTATTTTTTTTAAAGGAGACTGTAGGGGAATGGAAACCTCTCTCTAAAGTCCTTGAGTAAGGATTATTTCACCACAAACATGACCTTGCTTGGGACATCACCTGGGCCTAAAGCCTGCTCTCAACAGGACAACAGACCAGAGGTGACAGCAGAGGGCTCTGTGACCATTTATTCAACCCTGCTTTTGTTCCTGTCCCTCTGGGCATTGCTACAATGATGGCTTTCTTGGTTACTTACATGCCATCCTGTTCTACTCTATACCTCTGTACCCTCCCACATATCCACCATAAACCCACAAGTCATCCTTATACCAAAACATCCCCAGGTCCCTGTCCTGAAGAAGTACTATGACCTTCCCTTCCTTTTTGTCTGCGTTTTGTTTTTTGTTGTTGTTGTTTGTTTTTTTTTTTTGTGAGACAAGGTAGCTCTGGTTGGCCTAAAAGTCTACATGGAACAGTTCAGTGTTGAACTGACTGCCTCCCGAATGTTGAGATTAAAGGAATGTGCCATTATGTCCAGCCCTGTAGAATACTTCTGTCCCCTCAGTGTCACAGAGCCCAGCTGGGCCCAGGACTCTGTGGTCCCATAGTTTTCTAGGGAGTGGTTGCTTCTTGCACACCTGACTACACTGTGCTGCTTCTTGTGGCTCTATGCCACCTCAGCGCATACCCATGTAATCAGCAGAACACCGCCCGATCTAGCTGTTACCCGTTCTCCGCTTCCCTCACCAGGGATGTTAGATCTCTTGCATCGATTCACCCTCACTTTGCCAAGCCCTGTGGATCTGATTTAGATTGACAGCTGCCGCCAAGGCAGACCAAGTTTTCCTCTGAGAATCTCTCCTGTGGGCTGAGACTCTGCTCCAAGCTGGAAGCAGGGTGCTGACCCAGCAATCCTCTATTTGGTTAAGGTCTTGACCTCAGCAACCATACCTGCACCTATATTACCTTCCTTCCTGTTCACAGAAGCTACTCCCCTGCCCACATTCTACCAGCCTGTGAGACTGCAGAGGCCTCTTTCTTTCCTTCACAGAGAATCCAGGTTGCCAGGCAGAAAACTAAAAACTGCTGTAGAGGTGAATACAGGTCCCTCACCGAAAAAGAACTGGCCTTGCACATGAGTCTGGTCGCTGGCATAACTCTCCACCCCACACAACTACCCTCCAAATTTAAAAAGACAAAAAGGAATCCCTGCTGGAATATTGTGAGACTCTCTGCATCCTACTCACCCTCTGCCCTAGGAAGACAGGCTACCCTCCTGGGCAGCACCCCGTGCACGCCTATCTCCAGGGAGACTGTAATCTCCCCAAACAGACTCGAGGTGTTTTTTTCCATTGTTGAGACCCTTTTCTATCTCCGTCTCCCCAAGCTGTCTCCCTCCAGCTCAGCTTCCTGAGACCTCAGAAAAAAAACCAAGTTGTGGATAAAGAAATCTCTGAAAGCAGGCAGCCCAGGTAAGGGAACAGGACAGAGGCCCCAAGATCACTGGCCAGAGTCACTATAGCCATGACTGGATAGTCAGGAAAGTGAGTCCATTTCCTCAGCTCTCTTCAGGATCCATAAAACAAGAGATACAAGCTGTACAGGACAAGTCCCACCTCTTCCGTTTGTGCCACACTTTGTGGGCTTCTAACACGACCTCTCCAGCTTCTGGCAGTGTTTATATCCTAGAATGTAAATGTCACTGCAGAGAAGTGCACACCTGTCATGCCCTATCAACGAGACTCCCTTGGTCCCTAAAGAAGCAAGCAAGGGACAGACATGCAGGACAGCGGAGTACAGAAAACACCCAGTCTTAACATGGCTTAGGACTGGGTAGGCTGGCATGTGATCTCATGCCAACTCCTACCCTAAGACAATCTTCTAGTGCACTGGGGACAGCAGAAGCTTGTGACTTGTGTCTGATTGCAGATGTTCGGGCTTCTCCCCCTGAAGGAACCAAAGTTTAATGATGTGTCTACTCCCTGACTCCCCCAGCTCCGGAGGATAATGGAGAAGAATCCTTTCAAGGCCATATGTATACTACACTTCCAAATGAAAAGCAGTGGCTGTGAGCTGCTTCCTTCGACATCTCCAAGATTGCGATTTCCCCCTGGCTGCTTCACACCATTATCTTGGTTCTCATTTGGCTTTGTGTGTTCTCCCACGGAGGTCACAGAACTCAGTTCTTCAGTGCCACTTCATTATTCTTTCTCAGAGGATCTGAGACAAGGAGGTATAAAGGACATGTCTGAATGTCCCCAGAGGGCTCCCACAGGCAGCACAGGGGTGCCAGGTTGCCCAGGTACCATCAACAGCAGAGAAATCCCTCAGTTCTCTTAGGACCATGGTATGGTGACTCCCAGAAGAGTCTAGAGAAACTGTTCTCAGCTGTGGGTTGCAAACCCTTTGGAGGTCACATATCAGATATTTACATTATGACGCATAACAGTAGCAAGATTACAGCTATGAAGTAGAGTCAAAAATAATTTTACAGTTGGGGGTCACCCCAATAGGAAGAACTATATTAAGGGGTCACAGCATTAGGAAGGTTGAGAACCAGTGCTCTAGAGGAACCCCTACTTTTGACATATTGATGTACCACTTCCAAACAGTACTATGTCCCTTTAAAGGGCTCATTTGGGTGACTTTGACAAATGTAGTAGCATCTGTTGTCTTAAAGCCCGCAGCTGCCAGATTATGCACATACTTCTGATGTCCAGATCAATGCCACCACACAAAATCCTTTCACGCTGCAGACTTTTTCGCTTATTCCTTAACTTATTAACCACCTGGCCTCCTCTTCTACACCTGTGACCCAAGCTACAGGCAGCACTGCCTGGCATCTTGACCGTCTACGTCCCCACTAGTGTGATAAGCGAGCAGTTAAGTCTTTTAGCAGACCTTCCTTTCTGAGGAGCGATGAGACACCATGTGGAAATACAACATCCACACAGCTCAATATCTGAAGCACCTCTTCCCTTATTGCTGCTTGGGTATCACTCCACTGCCCTGGGCTTATTGCCTCTCTGCCTGCTGTAAGACTCGACCCGTAAACATTGTCCTGTTGTTCCAGAGGACTTTGCTCTCAAAACACAGCATAATGTGTATGCAGATCACATTTTGTGCCTCACAGATTATGGCAACTGAGGTTGGAAAGGTACATTCCAAGCAGAATACCCCAGTAATGTGTACCTCCAAATGAAGAGAGAGCAGACTTCCTGGACTAGGGCAGGAACCCTGGGAGTTATCCTGCCAACTGCTGAACATGCGTTTGCTTGTCTGTGTTCTCCACTACCATTACCTGCCATGTGCTGGCATGCTGCCCCTGAAGTCACCAGTTCCCCACCCAGCACTGCTCCAGGATTCCCTCAGGGGCTTGTGTCCTACTCTTGGGACAAATGTTGGGCATCCTGGTACCGTGTGTGATGGTTTCTGTACTTGCTTCAGACAACACAGCCAGAGAAGCCCATGAGCAGCCATGTTTGTTGGCAAAGGGACGTGCCATTGCAAGCCATCACACAGCTGCTCATGTCTCAGAACAGATTGTCCTGAAGCACTGAGGTGTTATTGTGACAGGCTGTGAGTAAATGGGATATGAAAGGCCACCTTTCCTGGGAGTTCCTGGTTTGTGATGCATTAATTCTTAACAGAGAGCCAGAAAGAGTCATCCTCTAATGGTCTCTCAAGAGGTTGTGGCCTTCACTCATCCCCCCTCAGAAGCAGAGTGAAGAGTTATAGTCTGACTAGAGCCTGCTATCCAGACCCAGCTCTCCAGAGGTCTGAGCTAGACTCAGAACTTGCAGCTGCCTCTCAATTAAAAGTTTGCAGCTGAAGGAGGTAGTTATTGATAGGATTCAAGGGCCTGGGGGAGAGAAGCATAGACCCAGCTGGGTTTTGGCCCAGGAAATTTAGGAGGGAGCTATCAGAAAAAGGCAAACACAAGGGCCTGGGCATTCACTCCAGGGACAGCTATCCTGCCTTGACCACAACTTCTCATGTTGGGCTAACCTAGACAAGCCATACACACCTAAGGTCCTCTTCTCTGCTAGGCACTGACTTTGATGGTAAAGCCCATGTCTGCACAGAGACGCTAAAAACATTTAGAAAACCTGGTGTGGTGGTATATGCTGGTAGTATCGGCACTGGAGAGGATGAGGCAGGAGGATCATCATTAGTTAGAGGCCAGTCTGCACTATAAAGAGAGTTCTAGGCCATTCTGGGCTACAGAGTAAGACTTCTGCCTCCTAATTTTTCCCTGCCACCCCCAAAATTAAGAAATATGAATGTGCCAACTACAGTATTTGGTATATTTTCTACTTTTCCCCAGAAAGGGTTTCTCTTTGTGTAGCCCTGGCTGTCCTAGAACTCACTTTGTAAACCAGGTTGGCCTTGAACTCAAGAGATCTACCTGCCTCTGCATCCCTAGTGTGGCTAAAGGTGTGAAACCACCACTGCTAGACTTATTTTCTACTTTTTTTTTTTTTTTACAGAGGTGGAAGAGGTTCTTTTGTTGAGACAGGGTCTCAGTAATTAGCATAGGCTAGTTTTGAACTCTCTTTTTAGCCTAGGCTAGCCTCACACTTGAGTAATTCTCCTACTTCAGTATCCTGAGGGCTGGGACTCTGAATGTGCACCAGGCAATGCTTCAAGAACACCTGTCTGGAAAGGAAACTTCTTTTCTTCCATAAACACCCAGCCATACTCAGTGCTCGTCCAGAAAATTATGGGAAAACTGAAATCAAAGCGATTGGTTCTTCTCTTTCTAGACCAAGCCATATGAATTCAATACCTTCTGATGCAGGCTTCTATCACTGGAGGGAGGGGTTGGTACACACTCACTCAATAATCAGCCACTGAACTGGGAGAGATTGTCAATATCAAATGCAGTCTCCAGCAGTTCATAGTGCAGAAGACCAAGGACATTGGATAACTGACTAAAGTTGGATCTCTTCGACCTACATCCTATCGGCCAGGTGCTCTCCTGCTATTGGCACGATTCTCTCTTATACCAGAAAAGTCCAGAAAATTCAGAGGTGGTTTGATAGAATCTGTCTCTCACCATCTCATGGATTTCTACCACTCATAGTCATCTGATGCTATAAAGACCACCCCAGGCTCCCAAGTCCTCCCTCTCTGGTAGAACATCTATCTAGAAGTTAGCTGCATCTTTGGCATGTCAGACATGTGAGACCAAATGCATATAACATAGCCCCTGATTTCTGCAAAGAGAGGCATACATTGACTAGGGTAATAATATCTGCCAGTTACATTCAACAGGTTCTCTTTTAGCTAGCATGGTGTATGCCGATGCTTCTTCCAGACAATCAGACTAAGTTCCAGCTACGAGACTTCACTGGTTCCTTGCATCACCCAGGAGCCTTCTGCCCAGACATAGACTTGAGCCACCCAGTGACTATAGGAGCAGTATTACCTTACACTCCTCATCCAACAGGTCCAGGATACCCAGCTTTGCTTCTATGAGGTCTATACACGGTTGGTTATCATGAAAGTCAATCAAGGTCCAGGGGATCTGCTCCTTCATGTATTCTTCTTGCTCCAGCTTGAACACATGCTAAGACAAGAAGCAAAGGCCATGGTGAGTGCACTATGGAAACACATGGGAGTTATTTCCCCTAAGCTCCTGTTGGATTCTGTGTCTTGGAGGATGGCAGCTAAGTGCCACAGGAGGTCTAGACACTAACTCACAGTCATGAGTGGAAACGGCAAAGCTGAGCTGGGTAATTTCCCATCCCTGTTCAATCCCTGTCTTGGGATAGTAGAATCCTACATGGGTTGCTGGACTCCAGACAACTGAAGGAGTTGTGCATCTGGCCTTCTGTTCCCTAGATACCCTGAAAGCTCAGGCTCAGAGAGGAGTGGGTCAAAGTAAAGGGACATTTACTTGCTTCTTGGAAGCATCACCAAGAAGCAAAGGAAAGGGAAGGTGGCATGGAGTCAATCACACCGATCCATGAAGAGAAGTGGCCTGGGTGTCACTCTAGGGGGACAGTGAGGTCCCGACCCCAGCAACCCAGGTCATACATTGAGCCTACCGAATTGAACTGTTGCTGGAGCTTTTCATTGGCATAGTTGATACAAAACTGCTCAAAGCTATTAATCTCGAAGGTCTCAAACCTGCAGAAGGAAAGAGGTGAAGCCACAGGTAAGATACACCACCCATGAAGTGTTCGGCGGGATGTAACAAGGCTGCCTCCCTCCCTCCTTGTGCAAGCACCCGAGTTGCCTTGTTCTGCCCTGTGCACAGACTTCCGTTGCAAATATCAATGATGGAGAGTCTTGGAAAATTAGAAATAGAGGTATTAAGTGCCTTCTTTTCAACTGATAAAGAACTGAGAGTAGGAAATTATAGGGAGGACAGACAGACAGCGAGAAGGTCAGTCATGATTCTGTGCACACTCGCCGGTCTTTTCTTGGTGATTTTTAAAGAAAATTAAACTCATATTTTGCCTCCTGTTTTTGTCGGTTAACTTTCCAATCTAAAACCATCACCACACTATTCTTCAAAATACCAATTTTAGGTCTTTATGGGTCTGTGGGCCGAGACCTGGGAATTGCAGGGGCTCCTGGGAATTGCTCCTAGATTGGGGGCAGATAGAGAACAGACAGGTCTGATGCTACTTCTCAAACCTAGGGCATACTTATTCAATTTTCAGAAACTCAGGAGCTGACACATCAACTCACTAATCCCCAGTGAAGGGCATTGAGTTCTTTCTCTATCGTATGCTGCTATCTGTATTGTGACAATTTTATATACCTCTTCAACTTCATGACTCTTTCCCTAAGGATATTATCCTAGGGGAATTACCTTGTCAAAAAGCTTCCTTTTTTGGTGTGTAGGCATTGTATGTGATGTGCATGCATGTGCAGGTGTTTATGGAGCAGCATGCATCTGTGTGATCCATGTATATATGGAAGAGGCCAGAGGAGGATGGGAGGTGATTTGCTAAACCCTTCTCTACCTTATTCTGTTAAGAATTCTCTCTCTGAACCTGGAGCTCGTGTTGGTGGCCAGCAAGCTCCAACAGTCCTCCTGCTTCCACCCCTGTAATGATGGGGTTATCGTTGCTCATGTAGCCATGCCCTGCTTTTTATATGAGTGCCGGGGATCTGCACTCAAGTCCTGCTGCTTGCACAGTAAACATTCTTACCCACAGAACAATCACCCCAGTCCCCAGAGCACTGTTTCATGGAAGGCAGAAGCAGGCACACCACCAGAAAGGTACAAGTAGTTTGCTACTTCTCTACCTGTGCCTTGCCACGAATGAGTGAGTCTCATTCTAACGCCAGTCAATAGTGATATTTTATTACATAATTTCTACTGGGTTGAGTCCATCTATACCAGTATGCTTCACTATTCTGATGCATTTTTACAAATGTCATATTTAATCTATCACAGAGATCCAGATAAACATTTTTCAGAAAGAGATTTTTTTTTAACACATAAGACTTCCAGTGTTTTATGTAGGCCAGTCTACTCCCTCTCCACACCTCAGTAGGAGTATTATCATAGTCTGCTGTTAGAAAATGGTATGATTTGAAACCCACTCCACAAGACGGAACTCATGCCTTGTACCATTAACCAGGCTGCTGTCTATGTCACAAGACCCAGGAGAAAACCCAACACTACTGACTCTGCTAAACAGATATAGTAATAAACTGTCTCCTCAAGGTCTTATCTTTATACCCATGGATTAATAAGTCTCTCAGTCGTCAGTAGAGAAGGTTCTTTTTGCAGCAATTAATAGTGGTGTACACCTGACCAACATGCACAAAACAAGACTTTGGAATTCCCAGCTGTAGCTGGGACAGCTACGTCACATGCTCTACCCACCAAGACTCAGGGATCCATCTCAGAAGAGACTGTGGGAAGACTGCAAGAGTGGAAGCGTTGGGCAGCCGTTGCTGCACATGACAATACCACTGCACACGTGAGCTCACAGAGCTGAGGGCTTGTGCAGAACCTGGGCAGCAGTGGCTCTCAGCCATCCTGATGCTGGGACCCTTTAGTACAGTTCCTCATGTTGTGGTGACTTCCAACCGTAACATTATATCCATTGCTACTTCATAAGTATCTTTGCTACTGTTATGAAGTGTAATTTAAATATCTATGTTTTCTGATGGTCTTTGGCAGCCCCTGTGAAAGGGTGACTTGGCCTCTGTGATGGTTTGAGTACGTTTGGTACTCATAGATTCATGTGTTTGAAGGCTCACCTATAGGGAGTGGCACTATTAGGAGGTGTGGTCTAATTGGAGGAAGTGTGGCCTTGTTGGAGGGAGTGTGTCAATGTGTAGGTGGGCTTTGAGGATTCCCAGGTTCAGGCTCTGCCCAGTGTGGCTGCCTCTGGATCAAGATGTAGAACTCTCAGCTCCTTCTCCAGCATCGTGTCTGCCTGGATGCTGCCACGCTTCCTGCCAGGATAATGAACTGGATCTCTGAAACTTTAAGCCAGTCCCAATTAAATACTTTCTAAGAGTTGCCTTGATCATGGTGTCCCTTCATAGCAATGAAACCCAAACTGATACAGCCCTCACATGGGTCATAACCCACAGGTTGAGAACCCCTGCTGTACAGGCTCATACAGGCCCAAGCCAACACAAAGGGGGAGGGGTTTATGAAGTTCTACCCCTCGCCAAGAAGTTATTGGCTGCCAGTTGCTGTTAGAAGACAGAAAGTCAGTTTTCTTTAGAGATGTGAGACCTGAGAGGCTATCATGCTCCAATAAACCCTGCAGCCATGCGCATACAGGTGGAGAAGAGGTGGGGGAGTGGGTTAGGAACTGGAGGGAAGCAAAAGGGGGTGGAGATGGATATTGATCTAGATGCATTATATTTATGCGTGAGATTCTCAAAAAATTCTTTTTTTTTTTAAATTTCTGGTTACTTGGTGTAAAAATGTCTTTGATAATCAACAGATTATCCTCTGAATCATTTCTACCCTGCGAACTGTCTAGGACACTCTGTAACTTTGTTAGGTTTTAAGTTCCCCAAATGGATTTATAGGACGTGTTCATACTTCAGTGTTCAACACATGCATTCATGATGTGGCTCGAGGGTGGGTTCAGAGAGGGAAGTTTACAGAGAAGAGGGCAGGGGAGGGGCTTGGTGCAGCAGAGAGGAGGGGCAGGGAAGCCTACTGAGGGGAGGGCAGAAGGGAGGAGCGGAGGGGAGGAGAAAGGAAGGGAGAAGAGGGGAGAGGAGGGGAAGGGAGGGAAGGGGGAGGGGAAGGGAGAAGAGGGGAAGGAAGACGAGGGGAGGGGAGGGAAAAGGAGAAGAGGGGGAGAGGAAGGGAAAGGAGGGGAGGGGAAGGGAGAAGAGGGAAGGGGAAAGGAGAGAGGGGAAGGGAAGGGAGGGTAAAGAAAGGGAAGGGAAGGGAGGGGAGGAAGGAGGAAGAAGGAGGGGAGGAGGAGGGAGGAAGAGGAGGGAGGAAGAGGAGGGAAAGAAGAGAGGAGGAGGAGGGAGAAGAGAATTGATGCAGCAGAAAGAAGAGGCCCTGCCTACAGGGCTTGTAAACTATACTATTCAAGGTTTGGGTTTTTCCAGGGTTGGTGGGGGACTCTGGAGGACTCAAATGAAGAAATGACTCAGATGTGACTCCTAGACAGGAGGAAAACAGGCAAGACACCCTTAGGGCCTGATGTATGTTGGTGGCACATTACAGAAATATTCTCAAACACCAAGGAAGGCTGGACCAAGAGGACTCCAGGTGACCCACGGGATGCTACAGTTGGAGGGAGCACTGTAGGGGTGGTGCGGAAGGTGTGTATATGAGTCAGGCACAATGATACATGTGTGTGTGTGCGTGTGTGTGTGTATGTGTGTGTGTGTACACATGCATGCACGAGTAGATATATGAATGAGACAATTTTACAAAATTAGAAAAAGAAGACTCATTCAACTGGATAGAAGTAGAGTCGATCACCATGCAGGTAGCATTGTAAGTTCCAGCAGCTTTTCCTCAGATGACTGGGGCCCACTGGTACGCAGAGCAGCACTGGGCCTGGTGGCAAGGTGGAATCAGAAGGGAGGTGGAGACTCTCCTTCACACATCAAGCTCAAGGACTGCCATGGCTCCACTCATCAGCACTGTACTTGTTAGTGCTTCTATGGCTGCGATGAAACACCATAACCAAGAACAAGATGAGGAGGACAGGGTTTATTCAGCTTACATTTCCACATGGCTGTTCATTATCAAAGGAAGTCAGGACAGGAACTCAAACAGGAACCGGAAGGCAGGAGCTGATGCAGAGGCAAAGGAAGAATGCTGCTAACTGGCTCACTCTCCATGGCTTGCTCAGCCTGCGTTCTTATAGAACCCAGGACTACCAGCTCAGTGGTGTCCCCACTCACGATGGGCTGGGCTCTCCTCAGTCAATCTCTTATTGAAAAAAAGAAAACCCACAGGCTTGCCTACATCCCAATCTTATGGAGGCATTTTCTTAGTTGAGCCTCTCTCCTCTCAGACGACTCTTGCTTGTGTCAAGCTGACCTCATCAAGTACAAGCGCCTAGTGGACACTGAGGTCAAGGACTCTGTGGGATTTCCTTTAATGGTCATAACAACCAGGAATGAGGGTCCCTCATTTATTCCCTCTACAGCTGAGGAAGCCCAGATATGAGGAAATTAACTAAACTACCCAAACCCAGAGAGTTGCAAGACCAGAGTATTTGAACACAGAGACTCTTCTAGTCATAGTCTTAATTCTGAGAGACGAAAAAGTCTGATTTAGAAGGAAGAGGAGCTTACTCGGAAAGGCTGTGAACAGAGTATGTTTGGAAGGAGGAGTATCTGAGGCCTGGAGTGTGGGAGAGGAAGAGGAACTACCAATAGGGAGAAGTTGGAGATACAGGCTTCATCTGGCCTTCTCTGTCACTGGAAGCTACCCCGCCCTCCAACCCACACATTCCCACTTCTAAATACAGACAATTGAATTTTCTGTCATTGCAAGCCCTTCTCTAAGCACTATTTCAGGAAGGGATGGCAGTCCTGTCCCTGGTAAGGGATAGAGACACAGAGGTGAGGCATGAAGACACAGTGGTGGGGGATATAGCTTTCTGTGTGGAGGGATTACCAAAAGTAGATTCATTAGATCCCTAACAGGCCCAGAGCAGTGCTCA